TTCCCCTTGCTACCGGATGTACCTGAAACCAAAACTGAAAACTGTAAGCACGAAGCTTAGTGAGTCTCCCCAAACTACCACATACCATACACATAATCACATAATAACATACATTGGGCCTTGCCCGCTACATCGGGCCCCGCCCGGCATCGGACGAATCCGGCATTGGGCCCCGCCCAGCATCGGACCGAAGTTCGGTATACATATAACATATCAACAAGCATATAACATAAACACATAACATAAGCATATAAACATTCCTCGGGCTTGCCCCGGCATCGGACCGAAGCCCGGAACATATAAAACATAACATATAAGCTAAATATTCTTCGGGATTGCCCCGGAATCGGACCGAAGCCCGGAATATATAAACAAACACATGCAAGAATCATGAAGACATCAAGCATACAAACATTCCTCGGGCTTTCCCCGGCATCAGACCGAAGTCCGGAAACATATTACCTACATCGGGCTAACCCCGAAATCGGACCTAAGTCCAGCATACGCTAACATACATAAACGGGCCGTCATTGGTGCCTTCGACCCGTTCCTACTGGAGGAAAACTCACCTCACAATGCTGGCTGCTGAACCTCTCGGTAAGGAATCTCTATCGACTGCTCCCGCGACTCCCCGACTATCATTAACAATAACACTTAGTCAAAATCCAATAATCCTTCTTAGGGTAAAATGACCATTTTACACCCCCCCCCCCCCCCCCCCGGTCTAATTTGGACCATAACCTAGGCCCAATTCCATCTAATCTCTCCAAGCCCACTAATGGCGCACTAAAGGCCTACTAATGGCCTAATTTTCTAAATTGGGCCCAACTCCATAAATGGGCCTTCCCTTATGCCCAAACATACCCTTGGCCCATTAACTGACTTCTAATGGCCCATTAAGGCCCAATAACTGCTAAGTCTAAAAATTGGCCCAAACCGAAGCCCAAACGTCACAACGCCCAAATCCTGAGAGTACATTGGGCGTACTCCTCTGTACGCTAAGCGTACCACTGTATGGCTTGTATGCTGCGCGGACTGGCTTGTACGCCCAACGTACTACCCTGTTAAGCCATCAACTTAAAAAACGTTTATACTATTAAGACCTTAAGCCCATATTACAGATCTGAGTCCCTTAGCATGTCTTAACTCATAAAGTCGACTACTTGGTGGCTTGCAACCCACCAAATGAACCCAAACTTGGAATATAGCAACTAACTTCCATGGAAATGGCTAGATCTCATGCATGGTCACAAATGGACCTTAAAGATCGAAACTTTACTGCTTATGGGACTCATATGTCACTAAGGGTGGCAACCCTAGACCTAGAAACGAGTTTGAGTCATAAAGATCCATTCTTGGGACTAAAAAGATCCCAAAATATCACTACACTAGATCTAAGCATACATGAGGAAATTGAAAGCTTTATACCCTCTATATGAGTGCCAAATGGTGAGGTAATCTCAGATCCTTGAGCTTAAGATATTCAAGTTCTTCTTCTCCAACTTCTCTTTTCTTCTTCCAAGCTCCAAATCACCAAAGTAAGCTTCACAAGGCCAAAAACACACAAGGATGAAGTATGAAATGGTTTCTAGGGTTTTCTGAGGTTGAGAGGCTGGTAAGGAGGCTAGGGTTTGAGTCATAATGTTGTATTTATATGGCTTAAACCCTAAAAATTAAGGTTTGGAGTCTGCTCACGTACGCTGCGCGTACATGCATGCGCCCCCCGAATCCAATGCTCCTCTACGCCAAGCTTACGCCCAGCGTACGTCTTCTGGGCAGCCCAACTACACGACCCACTTTGCTAAAGTCCAACTCAATAATCCACTTATCCAATTCATAGCCCAACAACAAATAATAAGTATTTAAAATAAATAATACCTCAAGTGACAGATGTTACAGGATGTTATGTACTTTTGGTCATTTTAGTGCATAAAGTTTAGATCTTGAAAGTTTGTGACCTGGTTATGGATAAATTTGGAAACTTTATCCATCTAAACATCATTGTGATTCAGATCTGAAGGTTTGAGACTTGGACTTAATGGATTAAGTTGAAAAAGATGCACTTTTGGTCTCTTTGATGCTTAAAGGCTAGATCTTGGTGGTTTGGACCATTCTAATAGATAAAGATGAAAACTTTATCCATTATGGAGCTTGTAGGATCCATAAAAATGTGATCTTGATCCTTCTATACCTTCCATGAAAGTGTCATGATGTCTTAATGGATTAATAAGTTAAGGTTTTGGCTTTTTGACCTTTTCCAGACATAGAAGGTCATAAATCGGAAACTTTATGACTTAGAATGATGTTGTGGGACTAGATCTAAGTGTTGGACGAAAGGACTTAAGAGATTAAGCACTTAATGGAAAAGTTCCTTTGGCTGAGTACGTCGGGCATACCTTCGGGTACGCTGTGCGTACTCGTATGGGGTCCCGATTATGGATGGTGAGTAAGCCATGCATACTAGCTGAGTACATTGGGCCTACTCAGCCTGAAGTTGACTTGTTGACTTTGACTTCCGTTGACCATTGACTTTTGACCAAGGGTCAAACTTTTGGGTTTTGGGTTATTAATTAAGATTTTATCTGGTTCCGGTATTAGTGGATTCGTGTGTGCGAGCAGTGCAGAAAAGGGATCATGTCGTAGTGTTTCAGGGTTCTTCGATTTAGGTGAGTCTTCTTCCAATGGTCGTGAGTCGAAGGCACCATTGTCGGCTCTCTAAATTGTGTATGTAGGATGTTAGCTGTCTTTGTGACTATTGCATATTTGTATGAGACTGTGTGGTAGAATAGTTGTATTTGTGGCGACCAGCTTGGTCTAGATGTTATTATTATGTTATGTTGTTTATGTGTGATTAAGACGGCTAATAGTCTCGAGGGTTGCTGATAACCCATAGTTGTTTATTTGTGATGTGTTGTGTGTGGTATTTTGGAGAACTCACTAAGTTTTGTGCTTACGATTTGTGGTTTACATGTTTCAGGTTTTCTTATATTAAAGGAGGGGCATGGCTCGCTCGATTGCATCACATCAATAGGGGACTTATGTACTTGATAACTTTTAATGATACACTGATAAATGTTTTTAAGATCTTGCAGTTGTGAATTAAATAAATACTTAAAGTTTTAACCGAAAAATTTGGGTTGAAATTTGAGGCGTTAGAATAGATATATATATATATATATATATATATATTTATATATATATATATATATATATATATATATATATATATATATATATAAAGACTTAATTGAATATGAGGTCAAAATATAAAGATATGAGATCAAAATGTAAGAATTTTGTAGTATATTTATATATAACATTATACAAAATGATATTAAAAAAAACATACATTAAATGGTCAAAGAATAGGTATTTTTTTTAAACGGCAGTTTGGTGCAGCGTACAGTGACATCCGATAGGACAGTACGTCATAACACCCAACAAACCCGATAGGGCAGTATGTCATAACACCCAACAAACCTGTGTGATCGATCCCTTCCCGAAGAGATAACAACAATATCCTTAGCAACTCAGTTTCCCATTAAAGGGTTTTACAGTTTTAGATACCGATAGAACTTTGCACCATTCTCCAGAAACCCTATGAGAGGAGGGGAAAATTGGAGTGTGTGCCTCCGCCTAGTTGAACTAGACCTCATTGACCAAAAAATAATAATAATAAGTTTGTTAGGATGTTTTTTTTCGCACTTAGCTGTAGAAAATTCTATATTTCTTAAAGTTATTATTCTTTATTCCATACAAGTACACACGCTTTATGCAAATAGTGAATAATGTATCCACACATAACCCGAAACATACATCGGTGCATCTTAAAACCGCCAATAGTCTTACAGTCTCTACAAAGCACAAAAATGGATGCAATAGGGATGAGCATGGGAACTAGCCCGGGAACCGAACTTGATGGAAAATAGGAACCGAACCGGACCGCCGGTTTCTACCGGTTCTTGTCGTGTCTTCAATGTTGGAACCGATCCTCGAGAAATAGCAATATACGGTTCCGGTTTTTGCCGGTTCTACCAGTTCCGGTTCCAACCGGTTTCCGGTTCTAAAAATCCACAAGAATATCGTCTCGGTCCCGGCCCCGGCCCGATCGGTTTTATCCGGTTTCGGTTCCGGTACCGGTTCCAACCGATTCTCCGGTCCAAATGCTCATCCCTAGGATGCTGAGTTAAAAGTTTTCAAGAACAACCTTCTTTTATGGAATTTCAAACTCCTAAAGCTTAAACAACAACAAGAAATAACCATAAACTATTTAACAACCAACATTAAAAACCTCCAAATTACCAACGAAACCTTACAAAAACTAAAGACTCTCATGGCTGAAGCAAAATTTATGAACCAGATCGTGGCTCAGATAGAAAATGAACAAGATCAAAGCAGTAATGGTGTTTGTGTCAGAGGGTTGATTCTTTCAAGTTTTCCATTTCTAGTGCCAAATTTTAAAATATTATCAAAAAACATCAACTTTACTTTCCTTTACAAGCTTTTTGACATGGTGAATGACCCTGATACAAACTCTGTTATTTTATGGAGCAAATTGGGTACTAGCTTCTTTATTAAAGACCCTGAGAGGTTACATAACCATGTTCAAGAAAGATTTAATTATAGCATTAAAACATTCTATAAAACCCTTGGTGATTTTGTAACTATTCTATTTAGCAATTATACAATTTCCCCTTTTTCATTACATAAAGTTGACAATGTCCAACAATTTACCTAAAATTTTATCCCCAACATGTCAAATGTATAACTTAAAATTTTGGCAAAAAATGAAACGTATCAAATAGAGTTGCAAAGTAACCTCATATTTGTCAAAATATCTTTTTTTATTGTATAAATTTTTTGTAAAAGAGATTTTCATAACACCGTTTTGGTGATGCTTATTTATAGGGCTTCCAATGTGTGGACAAGTTTTTACATGAATATGCAAATGAGAATTTTCAAAGAGACAACAAGCATATGCTAAAAAACATGAAGAGTAAGAGGAAACTATGGTAGGTGAAAAAGAAGATGCAAAATGACATCAAAGAAGAACTGAAACGACTAGGATTTTTCCAGAATGAATTAAAGTTGAATATTTCAAACATAAAGAAGAAAGAAAAAGCAAAAATATAATGAATTGTCTTTGACCAAAGGTAGAGGTCAACCTGTAAGCTCTTCCATTTTACCCTGTTGAAAAAAATAAAAAGCTAGAATTATTAAACAAAAAAGAAAAGTAATAAAGTTTGGAATATATATATATATATATATATATATATATATATATATATATATATATATATATATATAACTACCTGAGAAATGTATTGTTCTGCATCTGTTCGTCTAAGAAACAGAATTGCAAACCTTGTAAGGTTAGCTGACTGATCACTCAACACAACATTACCAATTTCCTCAAGTACCCTCACTTTAATGTATGGATCTTTCGGTGGGACCATGTCCTAAATAACACATTAATCAAATTAAATTACAATAACAATATTTAATTCACCACATTTCACAAGTATTGGAAATTAAGCAGTAGCATACCACAGCCAAATCAATATCCAAATCTGACATGTAGGATTTTAAAGTTTTAGAATGGCTTTTGAAATATTCTTTTTCTGAGATGCTAAGTTTCTCTTCAATTTCAATAGGGAGCACAAGATCAACTGTCCACCCTAAATTTTGAACAACTTCTGCACGATTATACCTATCAAAATAATTAATTATGAAAATTATTGTCTTATTATTTATTATTAATAATAATGATAATAATAATAAATAGATTGTTAATTGATGATTACACATAAGCCATGAGACAACGTTTGTTGCGAACCAATGCAAGGTGATGCATAAGTGCCCCGAAATGATCAGCATTTTTTGTTGTTTGATTGTCTGATCCTTCTTCTTGCATCTTCCTGTTTGGACATTGGGATACAAATGTAAGAATATAAAAAATACAAAAGAAAAAAATGATTAAATGAAAGGACGGATTACCTCAAAAGGGATTGAAGTTTAAGAACATGTTCTTTACAATCCTCGATGACTTGAGCAAATAGATCATCCTAGATCAAAATAAAACAAATGAAAGAAGTTTATGTGTGAATACTTTTATTTTGGGAGTAGTGAGAGAAGAAGAAGAAGATTTACATTAAAGCCTGTGAGCTGCCCGGATTCGCTGTTTGTGAATTCTTTAACGAGTTGATAAGCCTTTCGACCATACATTTTGATGTTTTAGTTGTTTGTAGATCCTTATGCAACTGCAACAAACCACATAAGCATTTCATCGAACACCTTGACTACATGATCTAACAATGATCGCATTCACCAATTATTCAGTGAATGAGGGAAATTTGAACATACGAATGTCAATTGTAATGTAACAAAATAAATATTAAAATCATTTCGACAAACTCAACTTAAACCCTAACAAGGTATTAACGACTGCTAAATTGTTATTACAAGCATTTCGACTACCCCTACAAAAATTAACATTTTTTTACCCTAAACACATCGATTTTCAAGTTCAACAAACTCAAATCTAACAAAATATGAACTACCAAGAGGCATTTCAAGTTTCAAAAACCCACTAACTATTTGAACTTAGCATGTAAAATTTCAACACAAAATATTAGCAGAGACGTAAGACCTAACCAGGAGGCTAGATGTTGAAGCCTGAAGAGGTGCAAGCAACACGCAGACAGAGATACGCGTAGAAGCAGCGGATCCGAGATCGGAAGAACGAGAGACCCCCAAAGTGTGACAGGATTTCCGTTTCGGAATTTGAGAGAGAGAGAGAGAGAGAGAGAGAGAGAGAGAGAGATTTTAGGAAATTGGAGGGAATCATCTATTTTGGGGGGAAATGGTTGTTTAGGGTGGGCCATGTTTTTTGGGCGGATTGCTGTGTTGGGGTCAACCCAATTATGTCAATTCAAACTTGGAGGGAATATAGCATTTTTAGCATATTGTTATGTAGGATATCATAGTTTTTTTGAAGTGAGGTAATTTTAGTATGTTATAAGGAATGATAGTCTGTTAATTTAATAGAGTTTATTTTGGAAAAAAAATAAAAAAGAAAAAGGAATTAACCAACCACAACCCAAGATCCAACTAAACCATTTCTCTCTCTTCTCGTTGTTGTGGCCGTAGCGACTCTCTTTCAGCAATCTCCTTAGCGCGTGTCACGGGGCAGTGTGCAGCGCCTCCTAACAAAGCCTCCTTGGCGAACCACTCCCTTCAGCCTTAGAGGTGCACAATAAGGTCTTTTTTTCAAACCTCTTTGGTGTGTATTGACCAAGTCAAAACTTGTTCAAACTATATAACATATAAGGGAGGATGGAGTCTTTCCCTTTCAACCTACTGTCACATTAAATTCTCTCTTCTTGCATTTCTATCTTTCTCAACCAACATTAGATTTTCTCTTTTCTCGCATTTCTATCTTTCTCAACCAATAGTACATGGAAATCTTATTTTTCACAATTCACTTAACTCACTTGTCATATCATTCTTTTTTATTTAATTAAATTAGAAAATATAAAATAATACATAACATAACATTTTTTATTTAAAAATAAATGTTCGTTAATTTAAAACAAAAAAAAAACAATTCTAAGATAATATTAAAAATAACATTTAATTAAAAAAACTACACTACAAATTAAAAAAAATACACGATAATTAAAAAAACACACTTTAAAAAGACAAAATAATTAAAATCCTAAGATGACAATTAAAATTAACTAGTTATCTAGAGTTGGAATGTAGACATGTTTAATGTGATCGAAGTGGTAGGTTTCATCATTACGCAATTCATGTAGGATTTATGGGTCACAAACTTTGTCGTTGGGTGGTCAGGCCGATGCACAGGAGATATCGCAGCACCCTCATATTTCAATATCATATTATGCAGTATAATACATTATATTTTTTTTGTTTTCTTCACCATTATAGCCCGTGCCGACATTTTTAATATGCCCCAACGTTCTTTAAGGACCCAAAAAAGCACGTTCTACGTGCTTTCTTATTGATTCTTGTGTCGCCTTGAACCGTTTTTTTTTTGTCTGCTAATGGATGTGAATATGCCTTCACAAATACAACTTGTGTTGGATATATTCCATCTGCAAGATAGTAAACATGCTTGTAGTGTTCATCATTCAGATAAAATGAACAATCGAGTCCCGTTCCATGATATTTATCATCATACAGTGGTGATTGGTAGAGGACGTTCGGATCATTGTTCGAACCGGCTACACCATAATATGCATGTCAAATCCATAAATCTTGTGGTGTCACCACTTCTAGTATCATTGTTGGATATTGATGGCCACCCCTCGTGTATTGGCCTCTCAATTCCGTTGGACAATTCCTTCAATTCCAATGTGTGCAGTAAATGCTATCAAGCATTCCACGAAATCCATGTATAGCTTCATGTGCTTCATACAAAATTTGAATATTAGTGGATATTAGACGGCGTAAATGTTCAGCCTTATACATTTAGACAACACCATGGCAAAAGTTTTCAAGAGCTTCACGAGAAGTTCTTTCTGGCATATTTAGATACCCATCTAACGAGTCTAGATTATAACCCTTCACTAATTGATGTATTGTTTTGGCTTCCTCTTCTCGAGGTGCTCGGAATCAATCTCCCCCTCTCCGGCTCTAGCTATCATGTCCTCCAAAGTCCGACAAGATGACAAGCTAACAAACACCCCGATATCATCTCGCAACATATCATGGTACCAAGTCTTCTTCATCTCCTCATCTGCGGCATACTGTGGAACCAAAAGAGCCCTCTCCCTAAATTTGGCGGTGATCTCCGCCACAGTCTCAGTCGTCTGAAGGTCCTGAAACTCCCTCGCCAACTGCTGCACCTCGATATTTGATGCAAATATTGGCCTAAACCGGGTCACAAACTCATCCTAATTCATCGTTTCAATGGCCTCGCCTCCCAAAGCGAAGTCCACCTCCTCCCACCAATCTCGGGCTCTATCTTTCGGAAGACAAGAATCAAATATGACCTTTAACCCCTCGGGGCAGAAGCTCGTTCGGAAAGCGTTCACCGTGTCCGTTAACCATCGTTTACTATAAATGGGGTCCTTATCCCCAAAGAACTCATGAGATCCACAAGCACAAAACTCGTAGAAGGAAATAGCGCCAGCCCCCACAATAGCCAAAATCTTTGTGCGAAACGTGTATATACGTTCATCCAAAATATCCATAATCCCCTCCTTAACCGAACCAAATATCATAGGAGTATGCTCCAAAATGTTGTGGGTGATATCTGACGAGATGAAGTCCCGCATCTGCTCATCCATCGGTTCAGTGCCAGCACTTGAGCGTGAACCTCCTCCATTTGTGCTTATCACCATTCTGAAAAGCAACCATACAAAAAAATCAGTTGATGCTCAAAGAATCCTCATCCTACATGCTTCCTAGATTCTCCATGACTCTCCTCAATTCGAGTATGGATCCTGTGTTTTCAGTAGTACGTGCCCAATACTACCTTCCACACATATCCATACTTTCCTCAAGATTTATCCCGAATCCTCCAAGTCACCGCGTCAAATCGATACCCCAAGTACTCGCTAAACAACACACAAAACCTGCTACAAAACTTCTTAGGCTCTCTTAGGTCCCCAACTGCACCCTGCCATCAACTGCTGAAGAACTCCCACTAATGGATGCTAACTACTTCATGAACACAATCACATATCATAACGCTTAGATAATCCTTTGAGTAAAAGACTCAACCCTACAACGGTTAGACTCAAACGAGAGTTGCACCGTAGAGATCAAATCTGTCACTCTGAGATTATTTAACCTTTGCAACATGTGACTTAACTTATTCACTTGTTAACTCACATCACTAAGAGTTCCACAAAGCACAAAGCAATCAACATTCATGCAGTAACACTCCAAGCTACAGAACAACCAAAGGACATCCCAAGCTCACTTACTACAACCCATGCTAGGAACTTTCACTCTCACTGCCAGTTGCCTTATGCATGCAAATTATACACAATACAGGATCATATAGACTGTCGAATAAAAGACTCTACCCTAGGACCACAACCAAACAAGGAACATGAAATAAGCCCAAATCAGTCATTCTAGGACTATATGATCATAGTCGTAGACAAATTTTAAAGCATACACTTAGCAATTATTACTACCAATACATATACCCTAATATAGCATAACATCCAATGCTTCCTATGCTATAAGGCATCACATAACAGACCAATCTATCATGCAATTCCTGGAGGTATCCTTAGCCTTATCCTAGCATGCAAACATTCATATCATATAACATATCAACATGTATGGGTATTCTGGGAATCACTTACTTGAGCTCGGCCGATTGCACGAATTACACCCCCTTTTTCTTTACTAAAGTCTTTCTAGAAATTTGTTTTCTTTTAAAAGATTACCAACTCCTCAGTTTGAGTTCAGTCACACCCGAGAGTATGCCTGAATCCCTCAAACCAAGACTCTGATACCAACTTGTAACGTCCCAAAATTTTATAGTAATTTTTTCATTTTTCAAACAATAAACCATACAAAGGAGTTGTTCCAAAACCGATCAAAGTGAATATATTATTTAAACATCAGAGTAAATATTGAAAATTGTCAATGCGGAAAACTATGGTGGATACGGTGCAGTCACGCCTACCTGAAACCATAAACATAAAATTGTAAGCACAAAGCTTAGTGAGTTCCCCAAAATATCACATACCATACATGCAATATAGATTGCTATGTGCCATCAAAATTATTATAATTGTCATTATGCCTTGATCCGTATCATGGTCTTTACTGATGGGTATTATGCAAAACATATAAAATCCTATGTGTGCATGCAACCCTAGTTCTTGATTTATGTTTTCTCTAATTGAACATACAACTTTGAACAACAAATAAGAAACCCTAGGGTACCTAACATATTTTCGAAATTATACTAATCAGGGTTAAGAGAAACATACCTTGATTGTTATTGTAGAGAATACCAAAAAAAACCTTCTTGTTGGTCTATTGGAAGCAAGCGCCACAAGTGTCGCACCTCTAATGGTTCACACCCAAACCCTAGCAACCAAGGAGCTTGAAGAGAGAGCGAAGAGAGATGAGAAATTTCAGAATTCCTCTTAGGAATGAAGGCATGGACGAAGTTCAACCCTAAAGGGGGTTTATATAGGTAACAGGAAGGTGTTAGATAAGGCATGTATCTCTAAGATAACCCTAATCCATTTTCTTCCTCCCTAAGGCATCAAATGCACCCTTAGAGCCCAAGAAAACCCTAGAAGGCTTAGAGATTTCGTCCCCTCCTTATGGGAGGTTCTAGAATTCCTCAATGTTCAACTATTGAACATTGTCACCTTTAGTCCTCCTACTTTTAATTAATCCAATTAATCCCAAAATTAACTCCAATTAATTTCTGATTAATTATTAATTAAATAATACTACTTCCTATTAATATATTATTCTCATAATATATTAATAAATCATTTGTTTTGGTTTATATATAATTTATCAACCATATAATAAATTAATAAATCAATCTCTCTCTCTCTCTAAAAGCTATCCTATTTAATTGCCAGGTTTGGGGTAACCCAAAAGGATTGTGCTGCTATCAGTTCAAGTTTATACCAATTATAGTTATGACTTAGACACTCAATCCAACAGTCTCCCACTTGGATAAGTCTGTAACTATAATTGTCAGTATAACTTCCAAACTGATTAGCAAATTGTAGCTTCCAAAAGTTGTTGTCGAACTCTGACCCAGTCAATTA